CCTGCCGGGGCATCACACCTTCTCTGCTAGGCTGACAACATGCCACGTCTCACACCTGTGCTGCAGACACTAAAGCATGAAAATTTCCACAGGACCCGGCTGCTGCAACCGCACAGTCCTCTTCTCCGTCAGACCCAAGTGGGACCACTGGTCTTTAGTCCAAAGCACTTCTCAGGCTTGTCAGCTGGCACGGTCGCACAAGCCAGGACACAGCAGCGCTCGCTCTGACGTTACCCCCTCGCTGCCGGAGCACAGCTTCTTCCGACAAGACACACATGAGAATTCCTCCAGACCAGCCGTCCGTGGAAGATAAGTTACAGTCAGAGCTTCGAGCCAATTCTAACCACACACTTTACCATTGAAGCCGGCGAGAGGTCTCACGCTACCTGTCACGCGTCCTCCTTCATTCCTCAGCCGAGCCCAGTACACCGGGCAGTGAGAGACGAGAGGAGAAAGAGGTGGATAAGCAGTGCTCGAGCTAGCAATCGGTACCAGCCATTTCTAAAAGCAGAGAAGTGCTCGGGGTTAACAAATCCCATACAAAACCTACTGGTACACAGTGAGGCGCAGAACACCTTTACCGATATCAGCCCCACAGCTTTTGCCAATTCTCCAGGCCTAATATCAGCAATTAAGCAGAATTTACTACTCAGTTTACACAATGCTGAAAGAAATGGGCATTTCTAAGCTAGCATGTGCTGTCAACAACATCTTCTAGTTATTCAAGAATTTGTGCCAGCTCCCAAAGAAGTGAGCGCAAACTCCTGCAGCAAGAAGCTGGCACGACCTGGAATCAGCCAGGCTTTGCTGATTACTCCTTTGAGTAAACAGTGGTGTTCCCAGCACTTCAGCTTGCTCTCAAGCTTCTCCTGTTGGCATACTACCCTATATTTAGGATAGAAGAGTGCAATGACAAGCATTGGGAAGAATGAGTGGTTTAGGATGCTCGGAATAGCGGCAGAGACTGTGCGAAAAAACCTATGCTGAATTAGAAACTCTTAAAGCGAGGAAAGGAATCTGTAAAGCTGAAGATGGGAAGAGACATGGAAGAGACAGCGTTCCATATATAAAGTTAAATAATGAATTTTGTTAAGGACAGTATTCCCAAGGCAAGAGATGCCAGTGGCCCATCTTTTAACAGCAGCAGGCACTGGAAAGAAGCCCCTGCCCAGAGGGGCTGAGAGAAGATAGGTGAATACTTGGTCTTTTTATACAAAAAGAGGATTTTAGTCTCATTTTGGACAGGTGAGCGACATCAGTGCCACTTTCCCAAGCCTACGAGCCCAAAGCTCCAGGACCAAGGGGGAGACAGCACCTCAGGGAGTGGCTGCGAATGCTGCCGCCCAGCTCCCACGTCCCCCTGCCTGCACCTTCCCACCCGCGAGCAGCGGAGACCAGGTTAAGCTCTAAAAGCACACACGGGGAGTTTGTGACCGGCAAACCTGCGGCAAAACTTGCTAAACTCATACCCGCTGACTTGACGGGCGCTAGCAGAGCCGGGGGGGAGCCGCTCCGCAGCCTGTTGCTTCCGAGGAGCCAAGGAGGTCACAAGGAATATTCTGCATTTATGCCTTCATGTGCAGCAGGACTATTTACTTGCGTTTAGTCACCCGCACCGCTGACTACAGATAAAAGTTTGACCGTGGGTCTGTTTCGCCCGGAACAGCCTCTGCTGTTAGTCACGCTCGCAGCGCCCAGTCCCAAGGGCAGCCTTC